AAATCAAATTTCTCATGCCAAAGTACTCTCAGACATCAATGTCCATCCAAATATTGACGTTATTTCAGAAATTATTTAGAAAAAATCGAAATAAAAATGAAACTTCAACACCCTGTATCTCTGAAACTAAGCATTTTAGGACATACATTTATACGAACTTTTTTACTTATTTTTATCTGCAGAATATACTGCCGAAGTTTCCGAGATACACTTCGGACCACCCTGTATATTTTTTTTTGTAAATCTTACGTGATCACGAAAGGTAGCTATTTATTTACGTAATTTTGCTGCTTGCGTATTGTGATATATGCATATTTTTCTTGTCGCACAACTTTTTTTTTGGGTTTATTTAGTTTTTAATAGTGCTGAAATTGCGATTGGTATTTGGTATTTACTATTTACTGTTTCCTATTTTTAATATTTCAATAGAGGATACTGAAACTAATCAGTTTGCATTATTTTTTTTATATTTCCTTTTGCTCTATGTCTACTTAATTCTCTGAATTCCTGATTTTTTTTTGTTTATTTATTTTATTTATTTTTATTTTATTTATGTATTTGTGGAACTTGTGAGGCCCTAAATATACCTTGGACAATTTCTGACTTTTTCCGTCTAAAGTCAGTGGCGCTCTTAACTCGCTCCTACTCTCCGAATTTTCTGAGCTAGGGCGTAAATTTGTTCGCGACTAGACCCCTGCAGATTCCACAAATATTTATTTTTATTCGTTAACTAAATAACTTACTTTTTTTTAATTCTTATTTTTTTCTACTGCGCTCGAGACTGCTTTCGAATTTCCCTTTCCAAGAGCCAAGAGAAGAGCCAAGCTAAAGCCAAACGCGTGACGGTCAGTTTGAAGAAAATCAATAGTTTTTATTTTTATGTATTTTATGTATTTTTATGTAGTGTATGTATTGTATGTATTTTTATGTATTGTATGTATTATGTATTTTTATGTATTGTATGGTATTTATCTGTATTTTATGTATTATATTATATTCTCTATTATTAAAGTTCAGGACAGCATAGTTAGATTCTCTGGAATAGTGATCGGGATTTTCTCTGCCGTGCTCTTTTACCCGTGAATTCCAGGCAGAGTACGGCACTCTTTTCATTTCATTTAATAAAATAAGTAGGGCTATTTACAAATTTAGCGTTTTATTTATTCTCCATTATCATGATTAGTATCGCTGTCATCATCGGTCTGGCAATCGTCATCTTGCCCTAAATTTATTATGGGGAGTCTAACCTAACGTCTTCCATATGTTGGTCCGTTTCCCAAAATTTATTTTCTATGTTTTTTACAAAAGTTAGAAAAATTTGTTAAAGACAAAAATTCTTCTAATCATCAATGGATATCAAAGACATCGCTCCTTTGGTCTTTGGTGACTTCTTTTAAAATGGATAAGGTGAAATTGCCCGCTGTGTTTTGGTTTTATATTAAAAACTTTCATCTCACCCAAGCTAATTCAATTGGGTTTAACTCACATATATAGGGATATCCGCTTAAGTTTACGTTTAAGCGTCAACTTAAGCGAACTCTCTGTAGCTTTTTCGTCGCAAACCCTATTATGAACACAAGGAAATAAACCAAATGAGATGTCATCCACGTTTATTTATATTTATTTTAGCTTAGCTAAAGTATTTTGCTAAAATGTATGCTTTTCATTATTATTATTCTATATACCCATATACATTAGCTATTATTCCTCTTGTCTGGCTATGTAGCGTCTCACACGTACAAATAGGAATTATATTGACGTCAAAATCAATCTTCACATGTCAAAAAACTCCTAGAGATCAATTTTCATCTAAATATTGACGTTACTTCTGAAATTTTTTGGAAAAAATCGAAATAAAAATGAAACTTCTACACCCTGTATCTCTGAAATTAAGCATTTTGTTTTTAAATAAATAAAACAAAATAGGAAATTGTTATGTTTTCAATTTTGAGTACACCAACCCCCTTATTACTGCTAATCTCATTAAATTATTAATCTAGTATTTTATTTAAAAACATCTATTTTGAATATATTTTCTGAGGATATTATTTCAATTTTTAATTAATACCTTTATATAAAAAATTCCAATTTTTTATACAAAGGTAATTATAAAATAATAATTTTAACAAATTACTACGCATAACGCTTTGTTAATTAATAATAATTCCATTCACTGGTTCAATTATTCCAATTTCGGTTATTCAGAAATGGCATTTATTACCGAATTCTCTTCACAAGATTTCTCAATTATCGATTCCAATTAATGGTACTACGCTCGAATTAAATAGAGTTCATTATTAGAAATCGTTTCTAATAAAGTCCTTTTAAATAAAGGCCAATATTAATTAAAAACTACGATAATAGGTTTGTTCCAACCAGCATTTCGGGATCGTTTCGGAATCGTACTCGAATCGGTTTTCTTGCACTTTGTTAGCATGCGCGGACTTCGAATAGTTTCGTGACGGTGCAAAAAGTATCAACGTTGGAACGTTTTGTGGATTGTTTTCGGGACCGTCAAAAGTGTCAAGCGTGCGTGTATCGATCGGTTTTTTGTTTTTGTTTAGAATCTCATAACATAACCCTATTATTTTTGTTTGCAATTTGCAGTATTTATTATTATTATAACGTTTTGTGGATTGTTTTCGGGACCGTCAAAAGTGTCAAGCGTGCGTGTATCGATCGGTTTTTTGTTTTTGTTTAGAATCTCATAACATAACCCTATTATTTTTGTTTGCAATTTGCAGTACTTATTATTATTATAACGTTTTGTGGATTGTTTTCGGGACCGTCAAAAGTGTCAAGCGTGCGTGTATCGATCGGTTTTTTGTTTTGGTTTAGAATCTCATAACATAACCCTATTGTTTTTATTTGCAATTTGCAATACTTATTATTATTATTCTTAAAATGGAGAATCAGAATCCAGTTATTCTTGGTAAGTGTTGTTTCAACTGGATACTCACTAACTCACTTACCTATCCTCCCTTTTTTTCCTGTTATTTCATTGCAGTGGTAGAATCTTTGAACGTTATTTTATAAATAAACAATTAAAATTTCCGAACGATTTACTCCACGCAAACTCACAAGCAAAAGTATAACACACACGTATTCGAATTCGTAAAAAATAACCAAGATAGAAGCATCAGCCGGACGCCGGACCAGAATCAGCTGTTAAAAATAGATAATCCCTGCCAATACGCTTTAATGCACAAGTCAACCCAAACAGTTCTCAATTTGCACCATGTACCGAAATTACCGTTATGAAATCGTAACTAAACGATTCCAACGTGGTTGGTACGCAAATATGATCGTCCGATAACCGTCAAATCTCGGTTGGAACACATTTGAATTACTACGCACGAGCGTGATCGTTCGGTGACGGTTCTGCGGCGGGTTGGAACAAACCTAATACTAACTTTTTCTTACTAAATATATTTTTTATAAATTTTGAAGAATGTTTGATAAAAAGAAAGAATGTTAATTTTGATACATTTTCCTTATTATTAGAAAGAAAAATTCATATTTCGGTATCTACTATTTGGAAAATATATCTCATCTCATACATATACAGGGTGCTACAAATTCGAGGTACGAGTATTGGTATCCCGGAAACCGTAATAGATACGAAGATGGTTAAATTGGGACAAAGTTGCTCCTTTGGATGTTCACCAAGATGCCATCAAAAAAGTTTTAAAAATTTCAAGGATTGTTGAGTTTTTTGAAAATAAATTTTATTTTTTCTTGTAGTTACTTTTTAGAAAATCAAAAAACGAAATACACATTCTCATAGCCACTTTATTAGGGCTATCTGATTCGTTTTAACTTTTATTTTTTAAAAATGTATGACCGGTAGATTTAACAAACAATATTTCAAAAAACCTGACGCAATAATTGTTTGAATCGGCCTTTTTTCATTAAAAGGGGATTAAAAAATGTAAATATCTCATATTACCTACACCGATCGGCATGAAAAATGGATACCTTAAAATCTTCATGAATTAAAAAAAAATCAATATTTTTTATTCTGGTGAGCCGATTTTAATGATTTTTAAGCAATTTGTAGCTAAATTATTTGACTATTTATACTCTCTTTAAATTAAAAAATTAAAGTTTCCATTTCACCAGTATATGTACAAGGAAAAACAAGATGCTATTTTGGCGCAATTTTAAAACACCCTGCGGAATGGTTTAACAAAGCCCTTGAAAAAGCTATCGGCGAGAGCGCTGGAGTCATGATTACTAAATCCGCTTAAGATAGGCTGGTCACGGACGCAGGATGCAAGAGAATCGCCTACCGAAATCTCCTCTTTACGGTGAACTTGTAGACAGTAAGGAGAAGCAGAGTGGCCAACTCAAAAATGTACAAGGATATTTTGGAGGGAAGCAGCGCACAATAGAACGTAATGGGGAGGAGCATTGTAAACTCAGTTAACAACGACAAACAAAAAGTAAGCAGGCAACAAAGTCATGAGATTTTTGAATGTCCGGAGTGCGGAAGATCACCTATCAGGCTTCTTAGTCACAGAAAAAGAACGCTTTGCATAACCATTTTGTGATACGTGTCATATACTCGTCAGCAAGTACTCGTAATAGCAGTATGTAGCACATTACCATCAAGGTGCATTTTTTCTCTGTAGTTTGTAGTTGGTTTATCGTAATAGTTTTTATTTTTTATTGGACTTATTCACTTTGAAAAAGACAGTACCTAACAATTTACAGTAATTTGAGCATGTTTCATTAAAATATAATAAAACATAAAGTATCCACTCCTAAGTGCACCTTGATGATAAAGTGGTTTTTAAAATCCTTATTTTGTTAAACCATTCCATAGGGTGTTTAAAACATTAAAGAAATACTTTTTCCTTCTTACTAATTTTCTTCCTAGATGCTAAAATGGTTATCAAATCAAATGTTCAAAGTAATAAAAACTGAAGTATTATCATAGCCCGGAATCCTTGTGTTCCTAAAAGAGTGTTAAGAGGGGTTATTGAAAGAAGACTTACCAATAAAAAACCATGTGTACGATTTGCCATAGAGGTTGTGCTTGTAGAGTTCGCACAGGACTCGTCTGGCAGCCACAACGTAAAACAGTCCCACTATCACACGCGCATCTTGTCTTCGAAGATTTCTGACAGCGTCTGACGGATCTGACAAGAAAGATTGCCTAAAATTTGAAGAAAAAATAATAGGATTAATAAATACTATTATTAACTTTGATATTTTGTTTGTTCAAGGAACATATTTTAATTCCAAAAATATCTAGTAGTCATATGTCCACGGAATATTGGGACACACTGTATTGTAATACCTCCTTAATTAAATAAGAACGCCACGAATAAATATTTAAGTCAGTCGTATAAGTAAGATCACGGTTGTGTCAATTTTGTTGAGAAGTCTTTACCTTAGTATTTTTATTCAGTAGGTTATACAGGGTGGTCCGAATTGTATTCCGGAAGTTAAGTAAAAAAGAAAATTGCGTCAGAAAATAAGTAAAAAAGTTCGTATAGATGTATGTCCTAAAATGATTAGTTTCGGTGATACAGGGTGTACAAATTTCATATTTATTTTCATTTTTTCCAATTAATTTCTGAAGTAAGGTTGTGATATTTGGATGCAAATTGGGGTATGTGAGCTTTTTAATATCAGAAATTTTATTTTGATGTCAATATGACTCCTACTAGTAGAGGGCGCCACCTACGTGTGTTTTAACTGTTTTGAAACGTAATAAATTTTTGTCCGTACCTGTATAAAACTACCAAGCGAAAAAATATACATCTCTGTGATTTTTTACGTAAAAAATATCTATTATAAACTTGTGTATAGTGCTAATAATAAATTACAACAATTATTAGGTAATCCAAAGGATAAAACACCTCCACTGGAAAGGTCGGGTATTTATGAAATTTCTTGTACAGATTGTAATCAAAAACATGTTGGGCAAACTAGAAGACCAGTATTAACTAGATTTAAAGAACATTTAGCTCAGATAAGATATGGTAGACCGGATAAATCTTGCGTTGCCGAACATATTGTTGATAAAGAACATTGTATAGAACTTAATAATTTAAAATTAATTAAACAAGTCTCAAATTACAGGCAATTAGATGCATATGAAAGCATCAGAATTAATAAATGTAAAGATAGTATGAACAGAGACAACGGTCCAATTCCTTCAAGTTCTTTGTTCCTACTACTCTAGTGGCGGAAATCTAACTGTTACGCTCAGTAAGTTCTGACTCGGTTGGCTAGATTTTGCCACGCCCACTCGGTGCCCACTGGGCGAGTATATAAACGCTCAACTTGTAGATTGTACTTTAGTTTATAATCATCTGCTGATGATGCTAACATGGTTAGCGAAACGCGCGTCCAGTGTAAAAGTAAAAGTGTTTCGGTGTATTGTGGTGATTTAGTGATTTTATTTTGAAGTTTGCCATAATTTATGTCAATGATGACATATATTGATAATTTCGATTCCAAATATCTCGAGAACCATTATTCGTAGCGATTTTTAACAGAAGACCTTTTTTACATTAAAAACACCGTAAATGTATATATTTTACTCACTAATTTTAAACAGGTAGGTACAGACAAAAAGTTATTACTCTTCAAACTAGTTAAAAAATATGTAGGTGGCGCCCTCTACATGTAGGAGTCATATTGACATCAAAATGAAGTTCTTATGTCATAAAACTTCTGGACATCAATTTTCATCCAAATATTGACGTTACTTCAGAACTTATTTAGAAAAAATCGAAATAAAAATGAAACACCCTGTATCTCCAAAACTAAGCATTTTAGGACATACATTTATACGAACGTTTTTACTTATTTTTATCTTCAGAATATGCTGCCGAAGTTTCCGGAATATAGTTCGGAAAACCCTGTATAAAAATCTATTCCATATCCGTGGCACTGTATAATTATGGAATATTTACCTAGTAACAATTTCGATGCCTGCCTCCGAACATCTCGATTCCAGATCTTCCACGGTCGAAATGAAGACTTCTTCCGCTTGCTGCAAGATGGCGACGCGCGACCAACCAAACTTCTTCATGAGCTTGATGCGCGTCGGATTGTGGACAGTGGCGGAGGGATGGGTACGAAACAAGGTGGGGAACCGGTTCCTGTCGGACAGTGCGGGAGAACTTGCCCCGTAACATAGCTGAAACAATAGAAAAATAGAACAATAAAGTTACCAGAACAGTAAAAAAAATGGGTAAGTCAATATATAACTATGAGTGCAAATAATCGCTCTAACAAGCTCTAAAGGATAATTTAACTTTAACTGGGAAGTAATACAGTATTACTTCAGCAGTCTGGGCAGATATCATTCCGGCATATGCCCGGGTTACCGAGGTACCCGGATTACTGGAACTACTTAAATTTATTTCTTTAGAAAATGCAAACAACTCAAAAATTGTCAATAACGTTTATTAATCTAAATTATAGATTCCCATAAAAATCTAACTAGAACTAGTTTCCCATAAAAACCTGATTCCTCGCTGCTTTACTATATGGATTTGATTTTTCATCTTGATGAACTTATCTGCGTTGTATACTTGTTCTTTGCATATTGTCATATCTAGAACACCAGATGGTGTTTCTGATTTTGTTTACCAATCAATGTCATTCATGTGGCCTCTGATGTAGCCGAAGTAAAGGAAAAATTGGAAGTTTCAGTGAAATTCTTATTTAATATAAACTTTGTGTTATTATTTTGTATATATACCCAAAAGGAAATGGAGTTAGGTAGCAAACCCAGTGAGCAAAGTTTTATCACATTTAGGGAACATTGGTTACGTATCTGCGTTTTATTGCTTCGTATAAGGCAAAAGATGGGTCTGGTAACGTAACAACGACGTCACCTAGAACGCATTTCCTTTAAAGGAATAAAATGCTCACTGGGAATGTAAAGCAATTGCATTAACTAATAAAGTGACTTTTTACGACCATAAACTAATCATGCGGACCTTGTTTCTTAAAGTTAAGTACATTGAACAACATCTAGACCTGGAGAGAACAGGAGTAATCATGAAAATTTTGTAAACTATGAAAATATAAATATTGATTAGATTTGTTATTAATTTATTTTAATATCGACCAGTTAACTATATGACCACGTGTCTGCAAATTTTCATCACTTGAGCCGTCTGACGGGTTTAATTAAGTATTTTTCAGTATTAAACTCCATTGAAAATAGGTATATTAAAATTATCATACATTAAAAATGCGTAAAAGATAAATTTTATAATAGAGGTATTGAAATTTAAAAAACGTCCACATTTGACATATCTAGTATTTTACCAAACCGTTCCGTATTTAACCGATGTTTTTTGAGGAACCGCTCTTTACCGTAGTTTACCGATCTGGTTCACTTGGTTTTGCAACAGAATACAGCCTATATGACACTAAATTATATGTCATAAAAATCTCGATTGTTTATCTGAAAAAATAAAAAGTTATTAAAGTGAACCACATTTAAAACGCACCCGGTATAGATTAAAAATTCCAAGGCCTTAAGTTGTAAATATACTCTTTTTTTTTCCTCGGTAAGATTTCGACAGTCGATGACAGAAGAAAAGCACTGACTTCCCATACCAAAGGTCCGACGACTCTTTAATAGAGCTAAATCCAGTGGCGAATGGCAGGTCTACAGCGAGCAATTAACTGAGTATAAGAAGGAGATAAGAAGGGCAAAGCGGTCTGACTAAAAGCGAAAACATCACTTCTACTCCTGATGCAGCTAGATTACACAAAGCTATGGCCAAGAGTGGATCTATCCCCAACATGGCACTTAAGAAATCTGACGGAAGCTACACGGAGGGAGAGGAAGAGAGAGCAAATCTCCTACTTTATACACACTTTCCAGGCTTGTCAGTCTTGCCAAATTATGGGTTATAATTTTGTGTCAACTTATGTCAAATATCTGCGTTTTGTAAGATGATGCATTTTGATTCATGATATTACGTGTGTTTTGTGTCTTTTGAAATCAAGTGGAGGAAAAATCGAGGGCAAAATAACTGTAGACCAAATACGTTCAAATAAAATATACGGAGGGTACCGCTTAAATTCCTGTCCCGATGTTGAAGGATGGCTATAGAATGTCAATGCATTTCCTACATAAGTCTATCCTTGTTCGGGAGGAGGTTTTTTGCGCTTGCTCGATCTGTAAGCACTTTGATTGGACAGTTCCAAATCATATGATATGTTTTGTTTTGGTTTTATTTATTTTAAGTTGATGTTAAAGACGTTCTAATAATTGAATTAAATCTTTCGAAAAATTGGAAGCTTTTTGTTAAATATTCTGAAATCCAATAAGTTTGATAATGTAACATTATGCGCATATTTATCAGTTGAGATATTTTAATCGTATCCAACATGTTATGGCAAAACACTTTTTCGACCAAAAGTTTTCAGATATCTTCGATTTAGTTATTTTCGAATGTTTATTTTGTTTATATCTATTACAAACTCAAGGAGCAACAGTTTTTTACAAGTAGTGTTAATTTTGATGCTGGTGCAATACTTCTACTTGTTCTTGTTTGTCTTGTTATTGTATTAACGTATACCGTTTTTTTAAATAAAATAACTGGATTACATTTTTTCAGTAATCACTTATCAGTCAAATTTTAAACATATTAATTTCCTGCTATGCATTCCAGTTGTACCAACTTATTTATTTTAATATGAAATAAACTACTTTAAAATTAAAATGACAGACACATCTATCACTGTCAAGGATCTTGTCGTTGGACAGATTATAATTAACTGTGGTGTTTGTCAAATTCAATTATGAAATCTGAAAATCTAGTGTACCTTCATTTCATACAGCCAGGATTTATCTATTTATATTATCTTTGTGTGAAGAATTGGCCTACTTAAGTAGTCAATAGTCACAATAATAAACCTTCTATATACAAATTAATTAACTATATTATACTCTTATCTAAAGGGTTTTAAATTTGTTACATAAAAAACTATAATAAATTTGTTCTGTAATAATAATATTTATGTGAAACATATTTCATTGCTATATCTCTCGTAATAAATATTTAGTAGCGACAAAATAACTTTAAATCTCTCTTTTAAAACTTGTTGCTCGCTAAAAGCATTAAGCTAAACCACACAGAGATCAAGTAGATGAACGTCTCCATTGTGTTTTCATGACACTTTACTACGAATAACCACGTCATATACGTCCATCATTTATTTTATGGCATAGACCGGCGTATATAAAAATCCATCAGTTTACTACATAACGTTCTCATTGGTAACTGAAGCAAAGATATCTCATCGGGTTTACTGGAAAGTCGCTTTCCGATAATTTTACACAATGGGCGGTAAAAGATTTCATGTTCAAGAAAAATCTGAAAAAATCATTTCCATCACCTTGCATATCGATTATAATATTCTATACTTATTGAATACTTTTGATCTAAGTATATAAACAAAAGTTAATGTAAAACAAAAATGAATTACATCTTTTTGGTACCAAATGGTACCAACTAAAAAGAAATCATGGAAAACTACTTGGCAAGAGAGTTGGTATTAACCATTATTTGATATTGACATTATTTGGTATTAACCATTATTTTCATTAAACCAAATGAAAGAAGCAAAAAATTAAAGCCTTGAAAACCCTACATATTATATGCTTATTCTCTGTATTAAGTTCATCAGACCGAAGGAAACAGTCATTCGCCGACCGGTTTCGGAGATTAATCTCCATCGTCAGGCCGACTTTGCTGTAACCCTCGATCTGACAAACGAAAAGCAGAGAATAGCATTTCAGTACAAAACGTACTACTATGGCGAGTGTTAGACGCTCTACGCCATCTAGCGGCAGCTGTGACAATCACAGATCGTACCGCCAAAAATAAAACCAGCGGCCTACTGGACAAACATGCTTACTTCATCTACGTTGCCGTAGATGGAGCTCAGGCCTAGGGTTTATATAAATAAACAAAATGAAAGAAGCGTTAATTTAATAATTACTAAAACCAGCAGTTCCAAAAATATATTTAAAAATAATTATCTATTAACATGGATTTGGACGATAATAATAGGTAAGAATACTAAATTTATTTCTATATTCGGTATAAAATTGTTTATTAGGTTTTTAGTTTGCGATGTTTATGGTAAATAATTTTCATGTTCATTGCCTCTGAATTCACATGAGGACAGAGATGAGGATATCTATGGAAAAGTAACCACAAGAGGAATTGTTACATCATTTAAAAAATGTTGGGAAGTTGAAGTTTCCCATCGAAAAGTAGAAAATGCCAATGCAGATGAATGTATTGTAATTGTGATAGAAGTAATTCCAAGGGTGAAGTCTATTATAATTAGTGACCTGTGCTTCTTTTTATATGTAGATGTTTCAGGTTTTGAGAATAAATCGGTTGAACGAAACCCAAAATTTAGAGGAAGTATTTGCATACCCAGAATATGACCATCAAGGATTATATAGCTCAAATTTCCTTTAATGGTAGGCAATTATTCAATGCAAATTAACTTTTTAAGTGACTGAAATATTAAATAGTTTACAATATGGTATATCACTAAAAATATATTACTTTTAGGTACAATTAGTGCCCGATACATTTCAAAAAGTAGAATATCATGTTATATTAAATGAGGTGTTGTACCAACAATCAATTTATATTAATACCGGAGATTAAAAAATAACAGAATAAATAGTTCTTTTTTTTATACTACAAAAATAAACTAGAATACAACAGTATTTAAAAAATAAATAAAAAGTTATGTCCCGGCCGAGATTCGAACTCCGGTCTCTCGCTTCCTAGCCCGACTCCATCCCGACTCCTTACGCACTGCTCCACAGTAACTTGCTTAGCGATAATTCAATGACGGTATATAAACAAAAAAACAGGTTTATAACAATATCTTGACGATTTGAACTGGCGCGCGAAGAGTGCTGACCAATAGCGCCAATTATCACCTGTGACGTAGCGACCAACCTGCGCAATATCATACCTTGTATTCTTTGTACCATGACTTTGCTGTAACCCTCGATCTGACAAACGAAAAGCAGAGAATAGCATTTGAGTACAAAACGTACTACTATGGCGAGTGCTAGACGCTCTACGCCATCTAGCGGCAGCTGTGACAATCACAGATCGTACCGCCAAAAATAAAACC